ACTTCATCACCAATATATACGCTGTCTCTTATAAACATCTAGATGTGTATAAGAGACAGGTCTGACATCATAACGCCACGCCCACCTTCAGAACTTGAAGACAGTATATATATGAGCATTAACAGGTAAAATAATTTTTCTAAATTCTCAGAAATCCAACTATTAGGCCTATTTCATTACCAACTCCTCATTACGGGATGAAAATGGTGACTGTATTGCATTGTTAGTAAGGTTGGAATTTCTATAAGTTTCTATAAATTTCTACATGTTTCGACACGTATAGCTAATGTTGTCGCACCATTTTCTTATAGTTCAACTTCGCAATATGAAGATATGTCATGCCATACCACAGACACAGAGGAACTAGTACTGACGCTACAACGTTTGAAGCAACGTTTAGATCATGAAATCACGACAGCACTGAATGACGCTATTGCCTGGCAAGAAGCAAGCCAAGGTTTGTCCATAAAACATCACTATTTATAAAATATACTGTATTGTTGGTTGCGTGGGAGAATATGAACCTGTAAGTGCCGGGAAATTGCACTCTCATACAGGGGCGGATCTAGGGTCACTTTTAGTGGGGTGTCAGACTTTTTTTGCATAAGAAAAACCAAAAAATGGGGGGTCCGGGGTCCTCCCCCTGGAAAATTTTGATTCTTAGATGCCGGAAATGAGACTTCTGAGGTGTCTTTTAATGACATTTAAGTTTTTCAAAATTCAAGGTTTCCCCCTCTTGAAAACGGTCAGGTAAACTTTCTCATTCTTATTACAGTAAATAGGCCTATTTATGTGTGCATACGTACATTTGAAAAATTGAGTTGCTTACGTATTCTTTTTTCCATGAATGGATTACCCCAAAGAGGAAGGGGTGGGGGGTCCTCCCTGGGAAAAATCTGATCACTAGATGGCATGAAATGAGCTTTCCCGACTTATGAGGTGTCTTTTAATGAGTTTTAAGTTCTTTAAATATTAAGCTTCTCATTCTTATTACTGTAAATACTAGTAGCCCTACTATGTGTGTATGTACAGTACATAACAAAAATTGAGTCGCTGCATACATTTTTTTTTTTTTCAATAAATCGATGAACCCCAAATAAAACGGGGGTCGGGGGTCCTCCCCGGGAAAATTTTTGTTCTTAGATGGCGAGAAATGAGTTTTCCGGACTTTTAATAAAAATTCAAGGTTTTCCCCTTTTGTAAACGGTCAGGTAATTTTTTTTCTTATTCTTATTACAGTAAATAGGCCTGTGTGTGTGTACCGGTACACAGAGAATTTCTCCCCCAGATCCGCCATTGACTCATACCTTCAAAATCTCCCCGGTAATTCATATCAACAATATAATGAAAAAAATATTTTTCATTATACAATGTAGGGGGTGCGATTGCACCGTCTCCACACTCTCCACCCCCCCCCCCCCCAAAAAAAAACCCCTGCATCTTCCTCAAAATAATGGACCGCTCCAGAACCTTAACCCACGACCATTCGAAAAGTTCTATATTGGCTTAATTGCGTAAATGTGAACTTCAGTAATTCAATGTGCAGAAATAACTTGATTAAAAATGTCGTTTTACAAAATTGTTTAAAAACAGCTTTTTGTTCATGCATAGACACAGATGGCTTGGCTCTAACTGTTTTTCTGAGACAACTTCATCACCAATATATACGGGATGGTCAGGTGACTGTAACCGACCAATCATGGTTTTCGTTGTTAATTGAGAAAGCTCTATCCAGTAGTCTTCAGGCACATGATATTGTTATGGTACCGTATGTTTTTAAATTTTAACCTGTATTAGTGGTCTATACTTTGTTACATAATTATAATATATGCAGGCTTATAACTTAATTGTGTTTAGGCCTACAGTATATAAATGGTTTATGAAAGTTTGATGTCTCAGCACAATATCAAATAAATTTCGAATATTTTGCTTCCTAAGCAGTTACAATATTAAAAAAAGTACAGTATGCTTTGTAAAATCGCCATTATGCCAATAAGTAGAAAAGCGTATAGGCCTAAATAGAGAAAGAGTAGAGATTGTACCAAAAAAAGATATTAGCATGTTTAAATGTCTTCAAAACGTATAATATGCATGCACCTGAATTTTATTTTCTACGGTTTAATTCTTTATTCAGTTAATTTTTTTTATTTATTCTTAACATGTTCGTTTTCAGCTTTCAAAAGAAATTGAAGCATTGAAAATGAACACAGTTATTAAGGATGGACTCAGTGGACAAGCGCAAGTAAGTTTCCTTTGAAATGTTATTATGTCGATAGATCTACGGAAACATGAAAAGAGACAGCTTCATAGACAACTGCCTTCAAAATCATCACCCATATCGAAAATTATTATTTTTATATGAACCGATCTTTGTACGTGTAGATACACAACCTGTCACAAAGGACAGGCATTCCGGAAGTTTGTTTTTGCAGAAATACATCAACGGAATTGCAAATGGCATGCCCATCAGCTGGGTCTATGACAATTGTGGTCCGGCTTGAGGAGATTATGTAATTATGCAACTAAATCCTTATTGCAATGAAAACTCCCCTGCTTCCCGGTATCAGTGGTGGCGCTAGGAATTTCCTGACGGGAGGTCCGGGTTCCCATGAGTGTTATGTTATAGGGGCGAAAAAATATGACAACTTAGGAGTTTGAAAGGCTTATTTAATCAATTTTGGAGTCTACTAGTATGTACATTTTTTTCTCCTTGACGAATTATAGTTTTTCTCCCCAAAGGGTGGGGTGAAGCTGGGGGATGTGGCGGAACCCGTGCCTTGTATAAACCCAAACACAGAACCGACGTGTGTTTCATTGTGCAATACATGAGTATATCGCCGTATGCCTACATTTTTAAACAAGGGAATGGGGATTAACGCATTGCCCTAATTATGGTTATTTTCATTTGATTTAACAAGAACCTAGCCTTTTCTTACGTAATAGAATAATAAAACATTTAAACAACAGAAGGAAATACGTAACAAATGATGAACTGGTTCTTGCAGGAGACGATAAGTGTTGATACAGCAATCCAAACAGACGATGTGTTGGATACATACAGTATTAGCTCATTTGATAGTGAAATCAGGTACTAAATGTATTTTTGTTTTGTTTGATGTTTTTCATTTCATGACATAATTACATCCTATAATCTTCGTGTGGCAAAAACGAACACTCCTATATACAACGCAAATTATTACAATTGTATTTCATCACTCGAGTACTGAATATTAACTGAATTTTATGTTATTTCTTGTTTTCCACTATCCAGTGAACGGAATCTGTCCCCAGACTCCTTGCTTATCCCGGGGCCGAGACATGAACACATAAGTTCACAGCAGTCTGTGTACACCCCTCCTCACCATAAGCCGAAGAGAAAGCTGGAGGTTCCCAGTACGCTTCGAGGTAAGATCTTTGTATTCTGTGAGAAAACACATTTAGCTCAGTAGTTACAGCTTGTGAACCATTATCAATATTACATTATATTGCTACTGTGAAACAAGACAGTACCTTTCTTGCAAATAAACTTCATTCATATACCCTTCAATTGCCTGGTAATTAATTTATCCGCCGATATTTTAAAAATTACCTAAATTCAGACGTTTCTTGCATCTGTCGAGAAAATAATCTCTGAAATACCGCACTTCCTGAACACAAGCAAAAATTTGCATTACCAGATTTCTGGTGTCTGTATTTTTCTATTTCTGTGTTTTTCCAGAAGGTACTTTTGACAAGCTCTTTTTTCATGTTTCGTACATGGTATTTTGCAGGTGAAAGTGACACACATGAAGTACAGTCTCGCACTGGATGTTGCCCTTTCCTTAGCTGTCTGAAGAGGATGTGTTTGCATTAGTTAGCTTACAATTTATTGTTGGAGTACCTTGAATATTAAAATACACAAGATCATTAACATGCATGTAAAGCTGCAGAAGTTTAAGCACTGCTCAGTTATCTTGTCATTTGCATTTGATTTATAACATCTGGGGTAGATATAGGCCGTTACGTTTAACATGCTCTGTAATTAGTCAGTACAGTATTTCAATACCTGTACATTGCATCTATATTAAGCAACTCATCGTTCATAACTTGATGTGAAATAATGTTGTTCTAAGGTTATATTGTACGCGACGTTTATAGCAGAGCTGCAAGTATTGTAATCAGCTGAAATATATGTACATTTAAAATACTGGAGCAATAAAATCAAGACTACTGTAATTTTTCTAAAACATTTTCTTTTGTCTTTATTAGCACAAACAAGTTAAAATTCCTCTTTCGGAATTACTGTACTTTAAATAATTAAATTAACTGGTGAAACAAAAAAAAAATCAATTGACATAAGCAATGGACTGAGGAGAAAGAAATTAAACTATTATTTAATCACTCTCAGTCCACCCTCTTTTGGAATTACTGTACTTCTGTAAAATTCTGAAGAAAATATGTATTCGCTAATACATTTTAGAACTAGAGGCAACTGGACCCTTAAAATGAGACTGAATACTTTATTATCTACGCCTGGCAGTAAACAGAGCACCATAAGTAAGCTTATTAGTTCCTGCTGAGTATAAACAAATATACCATGTACATTCATTTAAAAATGGACCAACTAAAATAAAATATATTTAACAAAGTGTGTACAGTACTCTTAAATTTCTTGATTGGCTGTGTATTCAATAAATACTGTATGATTCTTTAGTATTTTCTTTTGAGTTGTAATATGTATTTAAATATAAACTAAAATATAATTTCATGATTATATTTCTAATTCCCTACACAATATTGATATTTTTTATGTTTGTGTAAATCTATTTCAGTGCATGGGTTTATTATTTCTTTTTTTTATAATTCAAACAATCATTCGATGTTAATTAAACATAATCATTGCATCTGTTGGAAAATATAGCAAATCACATTTAACTTCTTATGTAGCTTTAGCATATATATTGTTTGTTTTTTTTTGTCACATATTTATCAACAGTGTCTTTAAATTTGACTGATTCTACAGTAGGTATGACATGTTTACGATGCACAAAACACTATTTTTTCAAGGGAAGCTGACCTTTAGGAACTCTTCATACCTTATAGGGTGTTATAGGGAATGTATTTTTTCTTGGGATTAAAAGAGAAGCACCATAATCACTTCAGATTCAGGTTTGCAAGTGAAATCTTGAATACAGATTTTATTTCTCATTGTTCTTCCATTCAAAAATTATGCTAAGATACAAGACAGAATCTTGTGTTCATAAAACTAAATAATCAACATAAATTCTGCATACTTTCAAACTCCTGGGTTAATGTGTTAACTGATCCTTAAATCTTTACTACCATATTTATGTTTATTTCTAAACACCTAGTTATCAAATATATAAAGCATATGTAAAATGAACATTTTAAGTAGATTATCCTCTTGAAAACACTGCTTAGTATAAACCACTAACCAGTAATTAAGGTGTCAACTATATTTTATCTTTTTCAGTGCTATTTTTATTTTCTAAGCACCAGGATATTAATTACTGTATATAATGTAAAGCATATGATTGTAAACTCAATATTTTAAGTAGATTCTTTTCTTCCGCTTAATTGTTAGTTGAAACGACTAACCAGCATTAAAGATGTCACCTATGTTTAATCTTCTTCAGTGCCTGCTTTAGCAGTGCATCAAAGTCAGTTTCCTTGGAGGAAGAGCGTGTTCTTGTAGGCTCAACTGAGCCATTGTACCCATACTTTAATTCCTCTTCCTCTCTATGCATATTATCTAAAACAAAAAATAACAGCATTCATTATTATACAAATGAAGAAATAAACTAATGTCATGTGGTAGGAAATCAACCAGGCAAATGACTGGGATCTATTTAGGTGTGTTATAAAGACAAAATACTGTATTGATGAGTACTTATTTAAAATTGATGCTTTATCCACACCATCAAATCTTAGGTGTGAAGTGCCATTCACTGTTTTTTATAAACTGTTTATTTCATTTTTACAAATCTAAATCAGAAATTAAGGCTGGGCACCCATGCCTGCCATAATACCAGTACCAATATGTCCCTTCTTAACTTTTATGCGAGGGGCTGCACAATCAGGGGTGCCGGGAGCCAGGGGCCCCATGCGGGGAGAAAAAAAAAGTTATATGTATTTTTGTACATACTAGTAGACTCTAAAATTGATTAAATACGCCTTTGAAACACCTAAATTGTCAAAATTTTCAGTGGATTCGCCCCTGGACCACTTTCAAAACATTTTAAGCAATGTCCGACCACGCCCACATTGCTCTCGTCGGGGAAATCCTGGCACCACCCCTGTGCGCGATCGACTCAATTAAAATTGGACGTTAGATGAATTTGAAGACCACAAGAAGTGGAAACCTACCTCTCGGCAGTATGGACATGATGGACACTATGTTGATAGTGTAGTGTTTCGAAGTTGTAAAGGTCCGAATATCTTTTTAGCTGGGGCTTACAGTTTTATAAATAAATAAAAAGGTTGCAAGACTTACCCAAATCTGCATATGATGTTCTACAGAAATTGCGCCTGCCACCAAAACAGATTTCATACTTGGGAAAACTGGGATCCTCATTGCCAACTGTTAATGATGAAGAATACCATACAAATGCATGTCTAAATATCAGGCAGTCTGAATCAATAAAGCTGTTTAAAACCATCTTTCAAATCAATTTTTTTATGGTACCATGCGCAATAAACCTTGACCAATGAATATTGAAGGCCTGTAAAATTCTGGAGTCATTCAACACAGCTTATCTTTAGTGTCTGGAGTATTTTCACTGTATGCATATCAATTTACCAATTTCTGGCAAATCTTGGTATGTAAATATTAAACATGTTCCTTCTAATATGTAGTACATCAGATCAGGGTGGTAGACTGGAGGTGAGTGCCCCTCTCCACTTCATGTTGTCATTTTTAACCCGCTTAAAAGAATTAATTTTTAAAATGACAAGTTTCCATTGGAATAGAGATTTAGACATTCTACATTCTCAACTTTCATACCCCTCCCAACGACAAACATGCATTTTCTGTCGTGTGAACTGGGTAAAAGTAAATAACTTAAAACAGAGACAACACTTGCTTATACCAGATCCACACAAGACAGTGTGAATGATACAGTGTGTAAGTCGAGAACCATTAGCATGCGCACAGACTCATGGTAAATATCTTGGAAGTTTTACAGGCCTTTTCTGTAATGTCCATTGTTTTTTTACATGAATAATAAATAAGACGCATGCTAAAATTTCCATAGCCGGGAAATTGTAAATTGAGTAGAAGTACTAATGATATAATTAAGGGTTTAACTGTTTTACTAGGCCATTTTACATTATGTACAATTGCCAACAATTACTGAAATACAGTTGAACTTGCCTAAGTCGAATCCAAGGTCGACTTAGGCAACTTTAACTGTATTTTGATACACAACGCTTGACTGCCAAAGACGGAAATCTCCGTCTTTTGAGTATTATTATACAATCCGATATATAAGGAAGTTGTGGACCTGTGGTAGAAATTTCTGCAATAGATTCGTTTTGGGCCGTACATTTTTTAAATTTTGAAGCCTTCTTCGGTAATTTAGCCAATTCTTAGCCCAGGCCTTGCATATGTCTAAATTAATGCAATATTTTATGTAATATATTGAGTACAGATTTACAGAAATATATAAAAGTACAGACTGCATTTAGTGAATGAAGTCGGCAGGCCTAGACCTAAATATAGTAGCGTGTGAATGATGCGTCTATGTAGGCCTAGGCCTAGCAATGAAAATATGCAATATTCACACTTTTTAGTTGTTTGGGGGGGGGGGTAGCCAACCCTACCCCTGGGCTCAGTGGTGGGTATGTGTACAAGGTCGTGTGCAATTACACCAGTGTTCTTATATTTCATTTTTATCAATATGTGGATATCTAATAACAAAGCAATGAAAATATGCAATATTCACACTTTTTTTAGTAATTTGGAGG